AAAAAAAAAAAAGTATAGGTTTTGACCCTGATGTGTATTTGAAATTCATATACCGGACATTTTGCTGGACATTTCAGATTTTGTATTAGACTTGGCTGTGCTGAATTGTTGTTGTTTGTCTCGTTTCTAAAAGACAATAAAGTATTGTTTAAAAAAAACAATACTGACAAAGATGCTAACTGGCCCAAGTTTGTAAAGTCAAAATAGTTGATCAGAGGCTCTTCTCAGCCGGGGCGACCTGCAGGAAGAGCTGCAGGAAGACGGTGACCCTGCTCAGGAGTCCGGGGCAGAGCCTGAAGTGGACCAAAGGGACGTAGAGCAGGGCCCCGCTCAGCACGAACAAACCCACGTACAGGTACTCCATCTGGGGCTCGTCCACGATGGGCGCCAGCACCAGGAGAACCGCCACCACCAGCACCAGCACGGGAACCAGGATGGGAACCTGGAGGGAAACACACACAGGTAGAGTAGGGGGAAATAAGTATCTGACCCCTTGCTGATTTTGCAGGTTTGCCCACTTACAAAGAATGCTTATTTTTCCTCATCAGATGGTTATCAATTTTTATAAATTCATATGATGTGATTTTCTGGAATTTTCTTTGGGATTCTGTCTCTCACTGTTAGAATGTACATATGATTAAAGTTATAGATCGTTGCATTCTTTGTAAGTGGGCAAACCTGCAAAATCAGCAAGGGGTCAAATACTTATTTCCCCCACTATATAGCACTTTACAACAACCGGAGCTGACCAAAGTGCTTTACAGAATAAAAACAGATCAAACTATCGAAATACACAAAGACAAACACATTGGTGACAGAACCCAGTATACAGAGAGTTTACGTGCAAAAAGCCATTCTGAACAAATACGTTTTAAGTTGAGCTTTGAACAGAGGCAGGTCAGTAAATGAACGTACAGTGGGGGAAATAAGTATTTGAGCCCTTGCTGATTGAAGAAAATTCCAGAAAATCACATCATATGAATTTAATAAAAATTGATAACCATCTAATGAGGAAAAATAAGCATTCTTTGTCTTTATTCTCAGACTTCCAGCTAAAGAATCGGGCTGACAAGAAATCCAGAAATCGTTAGCTACTGTTACAAACTGGGCTCTAGTTCCTCCTTTAGCATCGTATGCTAACACATAATCCCTGTAAATCACTGGTTGTCTTATTTCTTTTAGAATAAACTGTGGTCTTAAACTCTCTGTCTGAGCCCACAGATTCTCATTTTCTCTCTCTGTTACAGCAGATACTCGTCTTTAAGGTCAACACACACACTTTGCTAGCACATTCCAGTGAAATCTGCATGAATTAGCTGGCCTGCTCAGATCAGAGCTAACTGGCTAATAACACTGGGATGGGTCCAGAACCAGCCCAAAAGATAAATTTCCATCACACCTGGATTTCGGCTGACTGCAATCCTCCGGGAACTTTGTCTGTGAGAGCCCTGTTTTACTTTACTGTGACCAATAAATGTCATATTTGCATTCTTGATCTACTCTGGTTTCTTCTCAGGCTTCCAGCTAAAGAATTGGGCTAACAATAAATACAGAAATCTGTGGAAAACTTTGCTCAAACCGTGTATATTTGTCATTAGCTACAGTTACAACTGGGCTCTAGTTCCTCCGTTAGCATCGTATGCTAACACATAATTATGCAAATGACTGGTTGTCTTATTTCTTTTAGAATAAACTCTGGTCTTAAACTCTCTGTCTGAGCCCACAGATTCTCTGTTACAGTAGATACTCGTCTTTAAGGTCAACAAACACACTTTGTTAGCACATTCCAGTGAAATCTGCATGAATTAGCTGGCCTGTTCAGATCAGAGCTAGCTGGCTAATAGCACTTGGGTGGGTCCAGTCCTCCTTTTCTAAGGGGCAGAACCAGAAGATAAATGTCCATCACACCTGGATTTCGGCTGACTGAGATCCTCTGGGAACTTTGTCTGTGAGAGCCTTGATTTACTTTACTATGACCAATAAATGTCATATTTGTACTCTAGATCTGCTCTGGTTTGTTCTCAGGCTTCCAGCTAAAGAATCGGGCTAACATGATGTAAGTCACTTAAAATGATAGTTATTTTCTAAGGTAACACTTTGGATCTTTCCCCCCGTCGCCTCCTTTAACCCTATAAAGCCAAATGTGTCATATCTGATCCGGTTTCTTTTGGATCTGAGACTTTCTGCATCATTCAGTGGTAAAAGCTTTGCTCAAACCCCTGTTGTACACATTCAGATATACCTGATAACAGCCAGTAGAAGACCACACCAACATATATTTTTTACTTATTGCACGCTAATTTGATCAAAATAATTTTTGTTTTTTTTCTTCATATGTTGTTGAGGGGCCAAAGAAAGACTTCAGACAAAAAAAATCCAATATTCTTCCTATTTTTCTTGGATCAGGCTTTAAAGGGTTAAAACGTTCCCATTTTTCCAAAGTCTGCAAACCCCCCCCCCCTGTGTTCTGACACCGGCATGGATAAGAAGGACACATACGATGTGCTCCTCATGGGAAAGTAAATGACAACCAAAGAGGAGATTATTTTACTTACTGTGACCAATAAAAGTCATTTTTTGTACTCTTGATCTGTTCTGGTTTATTCTCAGGCTTCCAGCTAAAGAACCAAATCTAACAAAGGGAAACAGGAACGGGGGGGTACTGACGCTGAAGGGCCGGGGGAGATCCGGATGCTTTATCTTGAGGTAGATGAGTCCGGACAGAGTGATGGCGTAGAAAAACCAGGCGGTAAAGCTGAGGGCAGGAAAAGAGTCAGAAATAAGCTGGAAACATACTTTCCCCCTTATACAGTGGGGGAAATAAGTATTTGACCCCTTGCTGATTTTGCAGGTTTGCCCACTTACAAAGAAAGCAACGATCTATAACTTTAATCATATGTACATTCTAACAGTGAAAGACAGAATCCCAAAGAAAATTCCAGAAAATCACATCATATGAATTTATAAAAATTGATAACCATCTGATGAGGAAAAATAAGCATTCTTTGTAAGTGGGCAAACCTGCAAAATCAGCAAGGGGTCAAATACTAATTTCCCCCACTGTATGTGCTCCCTCTGGGTCACTTTATGGGGCAGAACAGCATCAAGATTGACTGTTATGCTGATGATATATCAGCTTTATGTGTCTGAGAAACTAACTGAACGTTCAGTTGGTCAAAGTAAAAAAGTTGAAACATTTTTCTAGATCGGTTCTGTGAGAATTGGGGTAAATTATAAGGACGGATTTTGACTTCATCGCAGTAAATTGGGTTCTAATTGGCTAATTAGGAGTGTCAAATTGTTGGGGAACCAGGACCTTTCCGCCAGAGGGTTCTGGGTTGGACTTTAAAAGCCCCAAAAACAGTTTTAAGATGGAGGGAGAAGCTACCAGAACTGGAACATTGGGTCTGCTTTGGGAGTCGCTTTGGAGAAAAGCCTCTAAATGCAAAAACAGAAACATAAAAGCCCCAAAAAACTGCTTTAAAAGCCCCCGAAAAACAGCTTTAAAGCCCCAAAACAACATTAAAGCCCAAAAAAACAGCTTTATAAGGCCCCCAAAACAGCTTTAAAGCCCCAAAAAACAGTTTTAAAAGGTCCACAAAAACCAGCTTTAAAGCCCAAAAAAAGCTTTAAAAGACACAAAACAACTTTAAAGCCCCAAAACAACAGCTTTAAAAGGCCCCCAAAAAAAGCTTTAAAACCCAAAAAAAGCTCTAAAAGCCTCAAAACAGCTTTAAAACCCAAAATACATATTTAAAGCCCCCAAAACAGCGTTAAAAGGCCCCTAAAAACAGCTTTAAAGCCCAAAATACAGCTTTAAAGCCCAAAATACAGCTTTAAAGCCCAAAATACAGCTTTAAAAACCACAAAACAGCTCAATAGGCTCCAGCCCCCCCGACCCCATTAGGGGATAAGCGGTTATGATGATGGATGGATGGATTTAGTTGGGATTGGGAGTGAAACCCATAAACCCCCACCTGAAGAAGTTGACGATGGTCTGGAAGTCCCCGGGGACCAGAACCAGCAGAGACACGGCGGAGGTGAAGATGAGCGCCGGGGAGGGCGTCCGC